TAGGGAACCTGCTTTGGCAGGGGGGGTTGGACTAGATGATCTTCAGAGGTCTCTTCCAACCCCAAACATTCTGTGATTCTGTGATTGCCAGAGATCATTGGCTTAGCCTTCAAGTACTGCACTTGCACATGTCCAGAGGGTGTGTGTTTCACAGGACTGAGCTGTTTACACCTGAGCCTGAATAAGATCAGGAACCACTGGTACTTTTTGCAGCCCCTTTCTTTCAAATGTGAAGTAAAAGAAGAGCCATCCCTACATTTTGAGAGCAACTGGGCTTTAGGTAGGCTCAGAGAATGACTAGATGGTTGGGTTCTTTCAGCCAATGAGAAGTAGTGATGTTTATGGCCATGTGCAGGTGCAGAACTCCAAGACTGAAGCCATAGTTTCCATGATGTTCAGGCACCTCCAGCTTAAGCAGATGATCCCTCAGGAGTAGAGTTTTAGATTCAGCCCACTCACATGCACAAACCTCTAAATCCACACTTAGATTTGGCCTAAAAGATCTTGCCCCCAAGAAGGCAAGGGAAGAGAACTTGGAGCTTCAGTCTTAGATCTTCTTTCTGCTTGTTGTTGGGCATTGTGTGGGTTATCCTTGAGTAACCATGGCCCACAGACGGAAACTTACTACTGTCAGTTAAAAAAGCTCAGCCAAGGTATCTTGATGACTGAAAAAAAGAGATAGGGTTTTATTCTAGTCTCTATGATTATGAGATTTAGAAAAGAATCACAGGACCTAGATTCATCCTGCTATTGCAGAAGTCCTTTACAACCTGAAACTCTAAGAATCCTCAAAACACAGCCTATTTTAAAAAAAAAACCAAAACCACCACCACAAAACAATTTATAAACAGGCACAAACCACCAGTCATGGACTCTCTTTTATCTTGCCTTGCAGGTCAGTTTTTAAGCCATGAAGTTATACTGCTTCAGGAATCTTTAAACACAAGTTATCACCAGGTTGGTCAGAACCAAACTGAAACATTAAAGCCTACAAGTACCCTGAAAGTGAAGGGACGGCTCGTTCCTGTTGTATGGAAGCAGAGGAGGATCTACAATGGCCAGCAGGAAGTTGAATGTTGGTTTGCCAAAAACAATGCAGACAAACTGATCGATGGGAGCTATAAAGACTATTTGGCTTCTCATCCTTTTGACACAGGGACCAGCTTTGGGACGATTAACAGCCTTTAAGACCGACCATAGCGATGCATTGCAGCAGCATGTGTGACAGCGGTTCCCTTCTGAAGCCTTTAGAGCTAGGCAACTTATGAATATTTCTTTACTTTTTGGTGCCAAAGAAACCAAGGCTTTTTGCCCTTGGAAATCAGCTGTCTCTCTTTCATGCTAGATGAACAGTGTTCTTCAAATTCCTGAAGACAAGTTGGTTGGGGAGGAAGGGTTGAGGACTTGGTTAAAGGTATGATCGGTTCTCTCCCCGTTGGAAGGGAGGGAAATAGGCCAGCACTCATATCAAACAGTGCAGAGAGCTGCTGGCCTTAAAATAAACCCTTTTAGGGATCTGTGCAATAACCCCAGGGGCTGGTGAGACACCCAGTGAGAGGCACAGCTCATACAGCACAATGTCTATCTAGAGAGACAACCTTGGGTGATAAGCCTTGCAAAGAAGTGACTTGGAGCACCTGCTCCAAACACAGTGCCTGGGAAAGAAAAGAGAGAGAGAGAGGAGAGGTGGGTGGATATTCATCTGTAGTAACCCATTAGCATCAAAGAGGTAACAAAGAAATCAAAACTTTAAAACAACAAGTCACAAGAGGGTATTGCTTTCTTAGTTATTGGGTTGGAGGGGGTCTGGATTTGCCACCAAGCATGATGCTCCCTGAACCACTATGGACCCTTAAAACAGTGGTGAAACCTTCATGAGGTTTATTGCTGTCTCTGGTCTTCAGCAGCAACAGGAGTGGTGCAGACTTCTATTTCATGGGGCATCTCATTTAAATAACATTGCAGGTTTAGTGATGTCTTGAGTCTTGACTCACTCAGAGAGAAACAAAATTCCCCCATGAGCTTCCACCTCCTTGAGCAGAGCATCACTTCTGCTTAGGCAGAGATTTAAATTCTGTAAAGGATGATGAACCAGCACCTGCAATAGCTTATGACCCTACAAAGCAGCCTCTTGAATTTAGACTAGAGATTTCTAGCTGCTTTTCTAATCAGGGAGGAAGTCTTTATTTACTCCAAATGGTCAAAAATTTTTCACTCTCATTTCCCTGGCTCCTTCTCCTTCCTTACACTGCAGGGATTTGTACACCGCAGGAATTTGGCAGCAGGAGGGCACAGAAGGGTCTGCCAGCCACCCCCCACTGCAGGTGGTACTGCTCTACAACAAAACCTCCAAACCCAAACTACAAGGCTGTGGTCTATTTTAAAGTCAGGCACCACTGAATAATGCTATAGATCAGCTACAGGGGAGTTTGCTTAGTAGAGAACTTGGCCAAATCAGACTTTACCAGCCACAGACATTTACATGGCAAGGCCAAATTGTACTCCTGTATACTCTGCCTTTCCAGAACTGAAAGGGAGGAGGGTGAGAGTGGAAGCATCTCCAGCAGCTAAATTATATCCATGTGTTGGAAGAAAAATAACGAGTTTGCCATGAGAACTACATAAATAGGTTCAATCTTGACTGATTTTTTTCTTTGCACATTTAAAAATTAAATAATATTCTTGTGGCAGGAGCTCCTGCTGCTGGGAATGTGTGTGTGTGGGGGATGGTGGTTTTCCAGTTGCTTGATCATCCACAGTTGCTACTGCTTTGGGCCCAGCTAGCTTGAGAAATAGCTCTCCTGCAAGGGAGAACTGAAGGTAAGACTTTCAGCAGAGTCCTCAGCATGCAGTAACTAAAGATGCTTATGCTCATGGGCCAGGAATAAGATGAGAAAGAGCATCTGTGAAGTTGACTTCTCCATCCAAGCAGACAGTAGGAGGATCACCCAGCCCATTCCCCAGTAACCTCCCATTTCACTAGCACAACGTGAACAGGATAGTAGCAGTGAACTTTGAAACAGTCCAGGGTTTGGCAGGTGTCTTATTCATATTGTCCTTACTGAAAAGAGATTGCTTTGAAATCTTCACTCTCCTCCCCCATTTTGCTGTTCAAGTGTAATGCTAAGGAGAGTGATTGGCTTAGGCTCTCCTCTGGTCTCATCTCTCCTGTATATAGATATGTATATATATATACACACACACACAAACACAAACATACTGCTAATGCTTCAGGTGCATCATTACTCTTCCTCCTCCTCCTCCAGCCAAGGAACTATATTTCTTTCAGGGCCTGAAAAGAACAATGATCAAGTCCAACTTCCCAGCCATATGAAGCACCTGGAGTAATATACTCAAGTTCTCATTAAGGCTCCAGTTATCCATTTCACAATAAATATTTTACAGTGAACACTGCAGTGACGCTTTCATTTGGCAAAGATAAAATGAGCTTTGAAGCTGAAGTTATGTATGTTTTATGCTGCTGGACAAACTCATGTTACCAGTTGGTTGAAAGAACCACTCACAAGTTAACAATAGGTTGGGAACCAAAGTAATTTCAGAAAATTAGAGGTCAGTGATGTTCTTCATACATTTGGTAGGAAACAAGAAGTGTGTACAGTGAACAGATGCTAAGAGTCTACGCCCACATTAAACACAGAATTTAACCATATAGAGAAGACTGATTCAACCTTTAAATACAGTAGCATAAGACAAGGGAAATCAGAGTTTATGCTCCTCCTGCCTCAAGAGCAGGAAAAGCAAAGGCAGGTCACAAACTGTAAACTTCAACTTTCCCCATTTATAAAGGATACAACCACCTTTTTTTTTTTTTCCTCTACACCACTTCCCTCTCTCAGAAGGAGAATGTGTCCAGGCTTGGTCCTCACATCCCTTTGCTGGAGCCCAGAGAGCTCCCAGGAAGTGCACTGCACTACTGCACAGACACAAACACATTTGTCCTCATCTCCAGGAGCATCACAGAGCACTTTGTTTTGCAGTGATACTGTTGAAGATTGCAAACTGCTCAGATAGCTCAGGAACGAGGGCTGAGCAACCACTTTGGAGTGCAGTGGAAACAACTGCACACCACTATTTCAGACAAGGGAACAGGACTCCTGAATTTAGGGTTGCTGAAACAGCACTGGATACACAATGCTGGAGAGGGACAACCTTCCTCCACACCATGCTTGCCCTACACCTACTGCCAGCCTCTTTGGCCAGCGTCAACCCAGAGCTAAGAGCGTGTCATGTTTATTCCCCACTCAAGATCACATCACTCACCTTCTGTTTTAGGACAAGGACTTGGCTGTGGCTGAATTTGCACCCTCCACATACTGCAGCATCGCACTGTGCAGCCCTATGACAAGAACAAAACCCAAAATACCAGTACATGTCAAAACAGCGAGCAAGTTTCTAATAAGCAAACTGTTTTAATCTATTTTCAGTCAAGACCTTAAACAGCACAAGAGTTATTGCAGCCCTTACCAGTGTGGAACACCACCAAACAAGCAAACACTACGTTGTGAAACTGATTTCACTAAGCAATATAAACGATCTGTTCAGACCACTGTGTGCCATGTGTTCAAAAACCATTTGATGTGCCAGCACAAGTTGGATTTTGAGCCTTCATTAAGGAAGAAACAACAAAAAAGAGACTTAATTTCCAGAAATACAGTATAAGGCTGCACAGCTGCAAGCGTAGCCAAGCATGTCTAGTTCACTAAGGGGCATGCAAGACTTTGATTTGCATCTGATGTTTCTAAACTACTTTGAAGTTGGGAAAAAACCACCACAACAACAAACTTCACACGCTCTTAGCTCAGCTTTTAAAAGTCCAAAGCTGTTTAAGTTAGAAAATCCAAATACTCTTTAGTAAGACATGTTTTCCTCAGAAAAATACAAGAGAGGGAGGGAGGAAGAAAACAAACAAAAAAAGATAACTCCTGCATGACTTCTTGCAAGAAACAATGGCTCAGTGGACCCTGGATCAGGTCCTGTTCTGGGGTCTATCCACCATTTGGACTCTGTATGGGTCTCATTACAGCGGTGGTATCTGCACCCAGCCTGGGAGTACATTATGCAGCTGCTCTGTGCTCTCTCCCTCCCCAGGAGAGCAAAGTGTTTTGCATTTTTGGTATGTTTATAGATGAATACAGTATGTTAAACAGGAGAGCAAGGGCAAAGCCCTGCACCTCACACTTGGAGCTAGGATGTGGGATGATCCAGGGGTCTTCTCCTGCAGCAGTCCCACGTAAAGCCATTCCCTTACACTCAGAAGATCAGGGCTGGTTAATGGGGCTTCAGTTGACCCTTCGGATCTAGTTTTTGCATCAAGTCCTGCAGAAATTGTATATGCTTACTTTAAACTAGGTAAAATGAAAGTACTCAACTTCTAGTTCCCAGTAAACTCTCACTTGTAAGGTGTCAACTGGGATTGATCTCCAAGTCTGTTCTGGTCTGGAGTCAGCCCAGGCTGATGCAGCAGCATCAGGTCTTTGGACTGAAGTGGCTCATAGAACCCATCTACACAAACTGAACACTGTGGCTCAGCTCTTCTGTAGGTTTACTAGGACAGATCTGCTACAGAAAGAGAACCTGCCTTGTGAGGAACTGGTCAGGAGAAATTTCAACAGATCCCATTCCTCCCCTTAACAGCATTAGGGTGTTGCCAAATATTAAGCACATGAAGGCATTTCAATTATGAAGCAGTTTTAGGTCAAATATTTATTGCATTTTCTTATAAAACAGTAAAAAGCATCAGATCCACTGAGACAATCTTCCCAATTCAAGGCATTTAAATACATATTACAAACCAATTCTTGTGAATATTGTGCATATAAAAGTGTCACAGTTCAGGTAGTACAGGATAGATTTTTTTTTTTTTTCTTTTCTTTTAAAAAAAAAAAAAAAAAAAAAAAGCAGACAAGTCTTTTGATTTCAGTCTCTAGCCCTGACAAAAAGTTACACCCAGCTGGCCAGCCAGGAGATGTACATATCATCCATACCCCTAACCTCACCGTGCCTGCGTGTGTACAGGTTGGGGTCAGACAGGTAAAGCAGACACTGCTCAAGTCTGCACAGGATGCACAGACACCATCCCAAAGAGACAACTGCAGAAGGTAAAAGGATCTCTACAGATCCATAGGGATCAACTACCATTCCCCACCCTGCCCTTCCTCAGCCAGCTCAAGGATCGCAGTGCTGCTTCTCTTCCTCCACCTCCCTTGTCTTGGTGTTGTCAGATGACCACTTGATAGCTGGGCTGCTTCATTTTCTGGTTCATTCCCTGGAGTCCTGAAATATCCTGGTCACTTTCAGACTGATCAAAATCCATGTCTGGAGAGAGTAACACCTAGAAAAGAGAACAGACA